TATTATATATTATATATATATATATATTATATATATTATATATTATATATATAAACATATATATAATAAACGTAAACACGGTGTATTTACTTCGAAAGAATGTCGCGATTGATGTCATGATATCTATGTCACAATGTTGTACAGATATCGTGACATACGCTCTTTGAATGAAGTGCTACGTAAATATAAGTGTAATATTATCAAATATAATTATCTTCGAAAAATTAATTTAATTTAAAAAAATAAAGACATTGAAAACTATAAATTTTCCGTCGACAAAAAATCTGTTTATAAAATATCTGATAATAGTGAAAGAAAATAGAAATCTTAAAATAATAACAAATTTTTAGAAATATATAATTTAAAATTTTACAGTAATTAAACAATGAAAATTAATTTTTCAAAATAAAACTCATTATGTTTTTGTGTAAATCTTTAGCTGTCATATAAGAAGCTACTTAAAAATCTTATCAATCGCTTCTCCTTTTTTTTCATTCCTTTTATTCTTCCGCGTTTCCCTTTTCTCATTCTTTCTATTCAGATATAGATTCATGAAATTTTGAGAATTTTCTTTTAACCTCGGGTTCTCTTAATAACTAATGGTGATTTATAGCAGGTAACAGAAATAAAAATAGCCAACTATTTTGTGTAATTTGATGACGCAGATTGACGTCATTGTGTAACAAGGAAAGTACTTGGGTTTCTACGTTTATTTATATATATATATATATATTGTGTATATATATATATATATATATACATATATATATATATATATAGTTACGTTCGTTGAACTTGGAAAAAAAATTATTTGCGCGCTTAAATTAATTTGCAAGAATAATATAAAGTTTCATAGTTCCCTTTAAGTTCAAATAAATATTAAAGTTACATTTTAGCGTGTAAGTTTATTATTTATTAAGCTTTGTCTTACTCAGTTTTAATTAATCAAAAAAATTGATTATTTATCTTAATTGATTTTTAATTCTCGAAGAAGTCTGAAATAGTGTAATATTGAAGATAAAACGTATAATTCTAAGAAGATCAAGAAATCATCTATTTAAAATTTCGACATCGTATGTTTATTTTTGAAATGCTTGATTTCAATCGTTTTTATCGTAGGTCTATGATATTATTAAATTAAAACGTCTCTAACTATAGGATAATCCCGTAGAATAACCGGTTTTGCTACATTATATACTCGTAGCTCTTTGTAATTTTTTCCTGTTGGTCTCCGTAGGAAGCATATTTTTATATAGCAATAGATATAAACTGTATTGTAAGATATTAAGGCCCAGTTTCACAACTCATGATTAACTCTTAACCACGGTTCAATTTGTTTTTCTTTTTCCAATTCTAAAATTGGAAAGAGACAATGAATAAGTTGAACCTTAGTTATAAGTTAACCATCAGTTGTGGACCTAAATGTCACAGGGATGTATATTCGTATGCTACGGTCTACTCCAAAATAATATCATAATATTCATTAATTTACTGCAAATGAATGAGATTAAATAAATTTGATACACGTAGTGATCCATTGGAAATCCAAACATATTAATTGATAATTTTAATCAATTGATAATTAATTAACTAATAATTTAATATTATTAAAAAAAGAAACAAAAATCATTACATTAAAAACAGATTAATATGCATATATTTTTAATATGCATATATAATTAATATGCCGAATGTGATATTTATAATTAACGAGCAAAATAATATATAATATTATATGTTAATTCGAAAGACAAAAATTTAATTTTTCTTTCTTTTCCTTTTAATCATTTTTCTAAGTTTTTTTTTTTTTGTGTTCATTTCTCTTATATCTTTATACTTTATGTCTTATACGTCTTGTCTCTTTCTTTTTTATATCTTATAAGAGACAAGAGTATACCAAAAATGCAGATAAAGTATCTGCACAAATGTTTGCACGAAGATTAAAGTGGCGAGAAAGTGTTAGTATATGTATAGTTAGTATATGTATAGTACGTTTATGAATTTAACCTTGCACTGGGCAACAGGTTTCCTAGAACTGGTTTCGTACCTCGTATAGCAAAAATAAATACTCTGCTCAGTAAGATCCTTCCACTTGTAATCTTTCAAAAAAAAGGTATGAGACTTAAGGCTGGTATTCATAATCCGTTGGTATTTAAGACTGTCTTAAGCGATGTCTTAAGATACTAATGTGGCTCTCTGATTGGTTTATGACATCAGCCTTAAGACACAACTTTAAATATAAATAATTAAGACATAGCTTTAAATATAAGAATTGATTATATATGAATATTGGCCTAAATATAATTTTCCATAGCGTAACTTTAAAATTGATAAGCGAAAAGAAATAAATAGATTCATTTATAAAATGGAAAAATCGGTGATTTAAGACTTAGTAGAGACTTAGTCTGCAAACACAATAGAGTAGTGAGCTTTAAGTCTTAAGGAATTGACCAATTATAGTCGATTATTCTTTTCACATTCAACTGTGATTGATCAATTTCTTAAGGCTTAAGGCTTACAATTCCATTGTGTTTGCGGATTTAAGTAGAGAATCAAACGTCCAAATTGAAACCGATGTAACTAATTGGTTGAATACAATCTTTGGTGCTGTAACTTTAGAAATAGTAAGAGCTATGGTAGGAACATATCGAAGCATGTTGGAGTATGCGACGCGACAAACTTAGTTTTTACACCAAGTGTCATGTATCGTTTTTTGTATAAGACTTTAAAGCCCGATTGCACCAACGTTACTTTGATTTTAAGCGAAATTTAAAACTCTATCTCGTTTTAAAACCGAAAAGAGACAGGGACAAAGAAAATTTTAAGCCTTGCTTAAAAGTGTTGATGCAACCGAGCCTAAGTCGATATTTGTAATCTGTTCTTATTTTAAGACTATCTTAAGTTCTTATTTTAAGACATCTTAAGATGCTAATTACTCTGTGATTGGCTTATGATTAAACTGTATTTATGACTGTGAATACCGATTTAGAAGAATTATTTTCATATATCTCTCGACAACTTCGGAGAATTATATCGGGTTCAAGTTCAACTCGAAACAACTTCAAGTAATAATATATTAGATTCAAATTCAATCTTCCCGAGGAAGTCTTCTTGGAGGTCTTTTCCATTCTTGAATCGTGCTCGATCGTGATTTAAGTCGACGATCGAAGCGAAAAATCGACAGTCAGCTTTCAGCGTGAGAGAAGCGAGGAAGGAGACGGTGATGGTCGTGATTGTGTTTTCGGATCTTCTTCGTATCCGTGCGTTTGTACTCCGAGCCGGGTGTGACGTGAGTTCGTCAGGGTCACCCTCGGAGATCGATTAAAGAGCAGCGCCAATTCGAGCCGCACGAACGCACGCTTCCTCACGATTGGTCAGACCATTACGATCATCTACGTCGACTGACTTGTTTCTCTCGGCGGGGACTGGGGTTTTCCTGAGAAGATACAGTCAATATTTTATATTCGTTCGTTAGATCGTCCTCCGCAGTAAGCATTTGGTGCTCGAAGGAGGCAAGTTCGTTAAACAAGATGTGTACACGTAAGTAGATTCAGTTAATCAAGAAGGGGAACTATTCTCACGCGCTCGGTTTGTTTATTTCTTCGTTCGATATCAGACATGAGCAAACTTAATCGTTATTTTATAAATTTACGTGAGATAGTGATTGAAATTTGTGTAATTTCGACGGTTTCAGATTCTAAGGTTGTAATCGTGAAGAAGTGCTTATTCGTGATATTTATAACATTCCATAATTGTGGAAATATTGAACCCACCGGTATAATTTCGCAAAGGTTGAGAGACACGTGAAAATAATTCTTAAGTCCCTTTTGTGAAGAAATCAATTGACATTATTCTTTACATCAAAAAAAGTCGAACTGAATATTATTATCAAAATTGTAAACACATTGAAATCTCTATTTTATGTTTATAAAAATATTTTTGCATGTTTTAGAACTGGAATAATTGTTATTAATTATATATTGTTTATAATATTTTATATTTATCCATATTACATATGTAATATAAATGTATATGTAAAAGTAATTATCAGCATTTTTGAAAGATCAAATCATATTTTAAATATTGTTATATTATAATATTATTACATTTAATGTACAATAACAAGGTTAATATAATGTAGAAAGGTTAACATAATTATACGTAAAGAAATAATTTGATTGTTCCGATCATGTCTTATCTACAGTTTAATAAATTTTTTAATGTGTGTTAAAATCATTTTTTAATTAAAAATATATTTTCAGTCAAGTAGAAATAAATTGAATAAGATAAATGATAAATCTCTGTAGTCTTTTGAAGTTTAAAAATTGATTACTGATTTTGAAGCTACATACGAAAAGAAAAACAAGATATTAATAAAAACAGTGGATTTGAGAATTAAAGTAAATATTCCTATATTGCTAATATTACTAAAATCTATACTTTATAGTACACATATCTTATAGATTTTTAGAATTGGCAGTGTATATTAGAACACAGCTTTAATTTAACTCCAAATATTGTTTATTATTATTATTATTATTCTGTTTCTTGCTTATGTTTCTCTTTGCATAACTTCGAAATTATATGGATCATCATCATCAATTTCTAAACTTTAAAAGATTCCAGATTTATTATTTGTCTTATTTTACTTATTTCTATATATATTAAAAATATATTTTAAAAATTAAAAAATAACAGAATTTTAAATTTTAACAACAGGAAATTTATTAAAATGTACGTGTTTTACATATAACATTTTCAAATTTTCGAAGTATTACTCGGATTTTTGTGTTAAATCTGACTTAATACATATCTATTAAAAAATTATGCGTTTATTTATCAAGAATTTAAGAAGACACTGCAAAAGATTAAAGATATACAAAAAAAGATTTGTGCCAGACAAATCGCACGAGACAAGCCGCGAAAGGATTGGAGCAAAAGAGAATAAACTTGAAATTTGATTCTTAAATGAGATTTTTCTTATTGTTATCTTCTTGTTTTCTTTCGCACCACGTACGAGATCTGATGGACCCATCGGATATGATTGCCTCGCTAATCCCAAACGCTCTCTCTCTCTCTCTTTCTTTATGCAAAAATACCGTTGGATATACAAGTCTCATCAAATTCATTCTGATACAACGACAATGTCTTATGCATCGAATTGACGTATCAACGATAATGCTATTTGACGAGTCGTAATTCTTGACTCGTTGAATGATTGCTCCAAGGTGATCTTGGATACATTCTCGCTCGGTTCATGATTCATTTCTAGAATTGCGCAGCGTGAACTTTTCTTTCATTATCAATTGATTAATATCGCCATTTCAGAATTAATCAGATGTCTTGCGCGTTTTTTTATAATACATAGTGCAGTTAATTAGTTACACAAATTTACGTTGGATCTCAACGATTATACAGTTTTCATGTTGTACATTGTACACGAATTTTTTTTGTTAAACAATGAAATAAAAGAGAAAAAAATAATTTGAGGAGACTAAGAAGGAACAATCTTAGTATTTGTTTTAAATTTATTGTCAATTAGTAAATTATGTACGGTTCATTACTTGATGAAAATTTAGAGTGAATATAAGAAAGAATATACGGTTTTTTTGTAAATATTAATTAATTATCATATGTGATTTTGCATTGATTTTGTTGCTCGTCAATTTATATCAGTATTCAACAGATCATTCTTCTTCTAGCTTCTAGTTTGAAAATAGAAAAATGAAAATGAGATAAAGGTTTTAAAAGATGAGATAACTCTTAAAACATTCAATTCATGATACATAGATACACAGTATTTTTTTCTTCATATCGCAATTTCGATGTAATAATGTTTATTTTGCGCTCAATATTATTATGCACAAAACACAACGAATCCAGCATAATTTTATCGCTGTCATCAAACAATTTTATCTTCTATAATTCAAAGTTACTTAAAGAAATTACAACTTATAAAAACTATTTATATAGTTCATAAATTCGTAATACACGAAAGTGTGTAATTATACGGCTTGTAATTAATTTTTTTATTCACGTTAAAGGCATTTTACTTAAATTGTTTTTAATACAAAATAAAGTGCAAGAGTTATAAAAGAAAATATACAATAGTGTTTTATACAAATTCTGTAAAATCTTATACGGTCGTAAAATAAATTTACGCGTCATCAACATCGGAAAAAGAAAAAAAATAAAAATTCGAATGAAGAAGAAACTTGTAATTCCGGAAAGTTCTGTTGGATAAAATATAATTATATTGTATGTGTAAGAAGCTTATAATGCTTATATGAACATGTCGATTAATTGATCAATTAAGCCCCAATTATTTCGTTGATATTTTTGTTTAAAATATTCATTTCTTTTAGAGCAAATTTTCTTTTTATTTTCTCTTTAATATTAGAATTATTATAATGTAGAATTTATGTAGAATTATATAAAGTAGAATTATTACTGCTGCTAAAAAAGAAACCACACCAAACAAAATTGTATCTCGGTTCGTCTATCCGTTGCATATATTTAGTTGTTATACATGATTAGTCTTACACACATAACGTGACTGTTACATTAGTATCTTAATGGGTTTTTCCCCGAGGCACGAGGAGGAAGCATCATCGATTTAATGATTCCGCGGTATTCTCTTTGTTATTTCTACTTTATTGTTAAATGCAATGATATCTTGTCACGTATTTTTTATATTGTCTAATTGTTATTTTAAATAATTCTAAGAATTAGATGATCATTGTGTATGCAATATTTTGCAATGCAATAATTATATTTCGCAATATATTTAATGACATTTAAATACTTGGCACAAAAGACTCTGTAAACATCAGATTCTCGGAATATTGAATTTCCATCAAAGTCAGCATTGCAAAAATTTGCAAGTGTATTTTTATTTTGTGATAATATTATAAAAAAGTATGATTCTTCTGTAAAGTAATATTATTTTTAACAAAAAATATTTTTAGGTTAATAGCTTTCACGAAATTTTTATTTTTTACTTTTTTTACTTTTATTTTATACTTATAATCTTTTTCATGTAAAATTTTTATGTATATTGCATTTAAGAAAATGCTTTATTATTATATAAACATAGCAATATAATCTGATACATTTTATTTTTGATTTATCACAATTGTTATCGCAAGTAATAATATTTTTTAACAATTAGAAATGTTAATAAATATCATAAGCGATATTATTAATATGTTCTTAGCACATATATGTTCATGTATCTAACGCTAACATATGTTTTTTATATTCTTTTCCTGATCAGTTTGTTACGCAACGTAATTATATGTGCAGAATGTCCCCGGTTCATCAATCTCTCTTGACAAACACTGAAGATCAAATAATGGTTGTTTTTTCAGTATCAAATACAATATTATCAGTTTGATATAAACTAAAAAAAACTAAGAAATCTAACGCGGATGATTTATACTTTAAAAACAGATTGTAAAATATTACGAACAGTTTAATTATCTTAATTCAATGAGAAGTGCGCATTATAAAAAATTTAATTTCGATCGCTTTCCATTCATGTCTTAAAGCACACTTTAGCTTTAGCTTGACAAGAAGTATTCAAAAAATGAATTCTGAAATTAAATTTGAAGAAGAAAATGATTGAATTAGATGCTTGGAAGGAAAGATAGTGATCCTCTGATACTCTGCATAAATGATCCGCATACTGACATCCTGCTAACGTCCGCGTTTCTCGCCACTTATATAATTGTCAAACTTTTGCCCTCTGTTAACTCGATATAACCAAGATCGTATATATTTCTGCTGAAGTAATAATATTTTCCATTATCGCACGAGCTGCGATATCGCTGCCCGTATTCTTGTTTGTCGCGTCCCTCTTGTGGCTCTCTGGTTGTGAGAAACTCGGGACATAATCGACTTTCGATTTAGTGACTTGTATAGCGAGTGGAAACAATTACTTATTCCTACACTGGAATTTAAACGATAATCAACAATTTAAATGAAAAAAAGAGAATGATGTCTTCGCTTTAAGTGTGAATGGAATATTATACGATCTGTATAAAATTTATGAGTATAATTAAAGAAGACGACGAAAAGAGATGTTTGGATTGAATCATTCGCCTTATATTTAGATATGTCATCACAGATCAATCATTATTTATATAATTATTCATTAGTTATATGGACATTTCACATGGTTATATAGATATTTTTTTCTTAAAATTTCAACTACTCTTACTTTGTTAATTCTAATTTTTCAAAAGATTCAATTTTATACCTATATTGTCTTTTTTTATTATATTAATTGACAACAGTAGGATTGTTTACGAATATTTATGACTTTTGTTATTGAAATTATAAATTATATTTTTCTATTTTTTATGAAAAGCATGATATTTAATGCACGTGTAATGTATGAAAACGTTATCCAATCGATACGACGTACGTTAGAATATTTAATAATATCCGATGTATCAATCAAAAATTGTCCTAATTACATTATTATTCTTGAATACCATTACGTAATGATCGCAAATACGAATGATTAGTATCATTATTTCGTCTTACGTATATGATTCATCATAACAATTATAATTCGATTGAAAAACATGCTGACTATAGTAACAGAATTATAATATAAATATATATATATATATATATATATATATACTTAAAGTTATTGAAAGATATGTAAAATATTTAACTAAATAATTTCGTTAAATTTTTTAAATTGATATAAACGGCAAGTATATAGTAAATCATTATTAGAAAATATTCTTTTTTGATGATCAAATTAATTTTTAAAAATATTTATTTATATATCTTATGCCGCTAAAATAACTACAATTGTTTAAAGATCTGGTTTTTATGTTTTTCGATAAGTTAGTTTTTTGTCGATAAACTTTAGTTCATAAAACTTCGCTTTATTACTTACTTTAAAAGTGTAATATTGCAATTGCCCTTCGAATCGTTGTAATCTTCATATCGCTTCTTGAAAGTTGAAAGACTCTATTGAATAGGCTCATAATACGTGCAAATATGTGAATGTAAGATTGTAACAATGTGGTAGTTTCATGTTCACCTTGGACGACATATCCGACACTTTATTTCGATTTGTATGCGACCTTCGAACGCAAGTGTTCAATTTTCGTTAATAATCCTATAATGCTCAAAGCGATCTCTTTGCAATGTTATATATCTTATGTTATCATATTAAAATGTCGAACCAGAAGAGAAAATTGACGTTGTTTATTTAATTTAAGGACAATTGCATGTATAAGCGTAAAAGTATTTAAAAGTTTATATCATTATTAATATTAAAATTATTGAACTAGTAAAAACAATAATTTTATGTTTTCTTTTGTTAAGTATCTCGACTATATGATTCGCGTATACATAGAATTTTGTAATAAATTTACTATTGGCTTTTTTGTTATTACAGTACTAAGAAGTTTTTTGGCGTTTTGCCTATTTGCATCAACCATGGCCGCGGCAGTTGAAAATAATTTAGCTGTTCAGGCTGTTTCTCAGAGCGCTCATTTGTTCTCCGCCAACTTCGTCAAGGTATATTAATTAAATTTAAATATTTTTAAAGTTCTATTAATCGATATTGTATATAATAATATATTTCATATATTAATTTAATGTTGTATGGTTATATAACTTACAAATAATTATGAGAAAATAGCTTTGGCGAGATCCATATGAAGAGCAAATTTTCAAAATACGTTTTGTCCAAAATTTTTAAAAAAACTTAATAACGGAAATTTATATTATATGAAATTATATTATATTATATGAAATAATTATTTTTTATGTATTATAATTTCCTCCAAATAATAAAAAATCCTGAGAAATCGAGCAAATGAGAGTGTAACATAGTTGGAGCGTGATCAAATAATACTGTTAATCAGTACAGTAATTGATTGCGTTATTTCCATAAAAACGAATGTTTCGATTCTTTTTAGAATCATCAGCGTTATTACAGTTCTTCAAAAATATGAGACATCACTTATGCATCAATAGCAGCTATTAAAGAATTAAAAAATCCTAAGTGAGGTGTATAAAATTCATTGCAATCTTATACAATTCATTTCATTTAATGCTGAGAGATGTGATTACAAAAACAAATAGAAAGTTTTAAAAAACGAGAAAAAAGCCACAAAATCGCACGCCTTATAGAAAATAACAATTTACTAATCAGTAAGATGTAAAACAAAATTGCACTAAATTATTTCTAATAATGTTAAACAAAGCATTTTGCTTGTCTTAAAGGACATATAAGGACATATAAGGATAATTCGAATGTTTAGACTTTTTTCAGCACATAAATTAATGGATGAAAAAATGCTTTCAGAACATCGTAGAGTAGCTTAAAATATGAATCTTTCAACACATCTTTAAACATTATGCCATCTCTAACTAAAAAAATGAAATTTTTGACAAAATGCGTTTTGGAAGTCTGCTCCTCATATAACTAATTTTAATACACTAAATAGTAAGTCAGTAACTTGCTGATTGTGAAATAATCAAAAGAGAAATGCCTGATTTTCTTCATTTGATTAATTTTCTGATATGTGTAATGGAACTTTCATACTGTTAATTATAAAATAGAAAAATGTTTATAATGAATAACCTTTTTTTTAGACTGTTTCACAAGAACAATCAGACAATTTAATATGTTCTCCCCTGAGTGCCCATATTGCCTTGAGCATGGCAGCTGATGGAGCTGCCGGAAATACCGAGGCGCAGTTTAAAGATGTTCTCAAGCTTCCAGCCTCGAAACCACAAACTTTAGAAGGTTATCAGAATCTCATCGATAAATTGAATGTAATTATCAAATTACAATGTTGTGAAACGTAATAGTTGTACACCACTTACAGAATGTGAACTATGTAACACATAGAGAAACATAAACACAGCAAGACATAAAGCAATAAGCGAACCGGTCAATCAGTCGAGAACGTAAGGCAATAATGTATGTAGGCAATAGCAAATAAAAAATGTTGATCTGCTTACTGCTTACGTTTTACTAATTACGTTTCTTTATGTGCTATTTAAATCTTCAAAATTTAATAAAATTAGAATAATATTAATTTATAAAATGTTAACATTTTTAGGAATCATTAATCAAATTTAGCATATTATTTATAAATTGTGACAGAATTAATTTGGTTATATCATGTGATATTTTATAATACTCTAGTGATAAATAATGCTAATCGAAATAATGGAACACTATCCTTACAGAACGTTGAGAATGTTACTTTGAAGCTCGCTAATAAGATGTTTATCGGCAAGGACTTCCCGATAAAACCTGAATACAAACAGGATCTCGAGACATATTATAAATCTGGCATTCAATCGGTAGACTTCAGTAAAAGCCAAGAAGCTGCGGACACCATCAATATCTGGTGCAAAGAACAAACAAATGATCGCATCAAGAGCATCATTAATGAAGGTAGGCATTCATTGTGAAATTCTACGACAATTGAGATAAAATAGAATTTTCTTATTTTCTGCATTTACGTAAAGAATTTAACATAAATTTAGAGCAATTGTTTCGTCAAAAATGTTGTAACTCACCAAAGTATTAAATATTATTTTTACTATCTAGATATTATATTCTTATATTTTCATAATTGTATACAAAAATGTATTGATTTGAAGCAATTGAAAGCATGCTTATAATTTGTATTATCGATTATAGGCGATGTGGATGCTAGTACTGCACTGGTGCTCGCAAACGCAGTGTATTTCAAGGGCCTATGGGCACATCAGTTCGATCCTAAGCTTACCACGGACCGTCCGTTCCATATTGATGCCAACACCGTGAAAGATGTTCCAACTATGTACAGAAAGGGCAACTATAAATACACCGAATTGCCGGAATACGATGCTAAATGCATCGAATTGCCATATGCGGTAATATTAAAAACAATATTTAGTCAAATGTGTGTAAGATTATTGCTTTCCACAAGTGTGTGTTTCGCAGTTGTGGTGAAAAGCAACGAAGTGAATTTCACGAATCTTGTTTTATGAATATAAATTTTATTATCGCAGAATAAAGAGATCAGTATGGTGATCATTCTACCCAATAAAATTGACGGTCTAGCTGCGCTGACCGACAAACTCGAGGAAGTTAGCGCGGAATGCAGCTCTCGCCTCACCCAAATATACGAACGTGAAGTCCGATTATATCTGCCCAGGTTCAGATCTGAGACCAAGTTGGATCTCAAGGATACATTGTCCAATAAGGTACGTCGTAATGTTCCGCTGATAATCGATAATAAAATAAATGCAATATTGTATCTAACTTGCGGTCTTACTTGCTGCAGATGGGTCTTAGTGAGGCATTCACCGATAAAGCTAACTTCAGCGGCATTTCGGATATACCTCTGAAGATCGACAAAGTCGTGCAAAAAGCTTTCATCGAAGTTAATGAGGAAGGTAGCGAAGCAGCCGCCGTTACTGGTAAGTACACCTTGTTTTGTTTTTTGCATTTGTTTGCTGAATATGGGCGAAATATTATCTTGACGTTTCAATCTTTAAATAGAAAAAAATATGTAAGTCAAATAATTTGCTTTAGATACTTTATATTTGTGTATGTCTCATTTTTTATTATCTATATTTATCTATATTTATTATCTATATTTATCTGTAATATGTATTATGTAACTGTTATACATTACAGTTGAGTGAGAAATAATATAACTAACAGCTGTTCTTAGTTAATGTATTTGCTGTGTTATTTATAATTTTGAAAGAAGATTATAATATTTAATTATTTATAGTTTAGATAGAATGCACATAATATTTAACTATTTATAGTCTAGATAAAATGCAAGAGAAAAATAATAATAACTGTAAGTAATATTAATTTCACATTAAGAGCAAGATGATATTTCGCCTAATTTTATTTGGGATATATCGAAATTTTTTTTCGCTTTTTAGACACTCTGAGAAATTATTTTTTGGAAACTATTCGGTTATGCTTGTGCATGTAACATTATTTTAATATTATGTTAATCGTGTAGCAAAATTTCAAATTTTTCGCTTTCTACGGCACGGATATATGTGATTTTGTACACTGCCGTGATTTTAAGCTGAGTGTGATAGCTAAATGTTGCTCACATGCTTTCTATATCAGCAGGCTATTCTCTACGCAGTATTCTATTTTTATATTTTTTCGTCTTATCTATTTTTTTCTGCTTTCTTTTATATCTGCACTTTTGTAAACATACTATTGCATTGTTAATTAACTTGCTTTATTATACACCACACTGCATAGCATCAAACCGCACGTTTGTTTGATTATGCAACTCATGTTGCACCTATTATAATTTTTGTCACACAATGACAATTGTATATACAAGACAAGCTAATTGATATTTATGATCTGTTTCGATGATATTCGGAAAAACTTGTAAATTTTCAAATTTTATAATAAATAGAGCGTTTCAATATTGCGACTATTGACATTTGATCAGTGCTCGCATTTAACTTAAATCTTGTGTGCATGTAGTTAACATGAATGTATTATGGTGATTGCATAGCTTGTATTCGTATTTATTATTACAAGCTATGCTATGTTCTGAGATTTATTTCGAAGGAACAATGGGATTTTTTAGGTAATACGAAATTTAAAATTTAGAAGTCTTTAAACAGATTATTATGCTTAAATTAGACTTGTGCACTTCTGCAGTTCACTTCTAAAAATAAAATTGTATGAGTGATTGGATGGTGAAGTGATAGAAGCTCAAAATTGTGGAGAGTTAAAGTTGATTTTATTTAATGACTTAAATCATCTTTAACACTTAGAATGCGCATCTACCGATAGTATCAGAGAATTATGCAGTTCATGGTTCACGACGATAAAGATATATTTTGCGATAACGGCTCTGTTTATGATACGCGAAAATAAAATTAATCATCTCATTAAAATATGTTAATACCAATTTAACTAAAATTTAACAAAGCTATTAATAAGAAAAAAGAAAAAGGAAAAGATCAAAATTTTCGAGAAAAATTTTTCGAATCCTTCATAACCACATGAGAAGGCATAATAAATCATGATGATATCCGTCAATCGGACTATGAATCTCCAAAATAAAAGTTAGTTTTATAACAGCAAAATGATTGCACTTTTCCTCGATTCGATATATTTGACAACAAAACATCTGTCACAGCTGACAAAATAGAATTTTCTTTCTTTAATTCAATGAAAGAATTGGCGAAAATAATGTGGACGCATTTATATATATTAAACTAAAAAAATTTTGAACAAATAACATTTAAAAAATATATACGTATATTTATATAAAATACGGGCGATTTTCATTGCTTGACTTATGACTCGCTGATTCTATCGTAATCAGAGATGCATTTTTACTAAATTCTTTTTTTCTTTTCCTGCACTCTCAACCAAGTATCTATGCTCTGACCAAGTCCTGACATTACTAATATTCAATCAGTCATATCTTTTATCTGAATATTTCTCGCGTGCTTTGGGCATCCAAGAGCGCACCCGATTATTGAACGGATAATTGATACAAAGAATGATCTTCTGACAGGTGCCTCTGTCAGACCTCTTTCGGGTACTTGGAAACCGGTGGAGCCTTTATTACTTCGCGTCGATCATCCTTTCCTGGCGATTATTAAACACAACAGCATCGCGTTATTCGTAGCGAAGATCCTGTGGTAGTGATAATGAATATTTATATATTTTTCGTAATGATAGAAAACAGTAATTAATACTTTTCATATTACACTCGTGGCAGAGACGTGCGTATATGATACTTTTTAGTTATTCATCGATATACTATCGATATACTCAGCAATTTTATAACTGCACTAAGAAACCCATTTAGTTGAATCAACCAAGGATTTGTTTGCCCATATCCAAACAAGAAATTAATTGATTCAACTAAATGGGTTTCTCAATGTGAAAAGAAAAATATTTTAACGACGTGCGATTAATAGTAAAATTAATTTATGATAAAGTACATACATCTTTCGTATAAAATGATATAGTGACTGAGGGTATCTCGTGAGATGTATAACTTGTAAAACATGACATTATTTGTATAATAGAAATTAAATTTTATAAATTATTATTGCTCAAATTAATTTTGATTATGCACAAGTCCGAAAATGTGCAGTCTTGATAACATATCTAAGTAGATGATCATCATAAAAAAAAACACTGTTTCTTTTAATTTATTATACGTATTATGTGATATATAATTAATTACCCTGTTCAATAGATTTAATTATTCCATAACATAAACCATCAAAATATTAATAGAATTTTTGATAATTCGACGAAGAATAATTAATATACATAATACGTATATATATTTGTTGATTATTTTATCACTTTTTGGTCACTTTATTTCTATAGCTTTATTATATTTTTATATTATATATACATGAGAATTTTCTTAATCAATATTTTTTCGTTTGTTAATTATTTCTTATTTGTTAAATTTTACATACAACGCATATTACGAGAATTCAAAGTGCATTTAAATCGATTCAAAAGCGTTCTGTAATAATTTTAATTTTTACAATGCGATATTTATTTTACCGTTTCTTATTACAAAATATAAACTGTGATTATAAAAATATTGGTGTTAATATTTTATAAAGATATATTAGCTTTTTAAATTATTAATATAGTACATATAATATATATATATATATATGAGAATATTAATAATTTAATGTTTTAAACATAACTCTTTATAATATTTTTATCCTGTATACAATACATGCATTTCTAAATATTACTGTACACAAAAATAATATATAAATTTTTTTGTAAATGAAAAATTAAAACTTCTAACAAATCTGTTTTTGAGCCAATTCGAATTTATTTAAAAGCACTTTGATGCTTCTTTTGATTGCTTTTTCAAATCTTAGTGTAAAAGATTATATGGTAGAAATTTGACGTTTGTCTGGTAGGCATCAGCAATCGAAGATTTCTACCCAATTTCAAGAACTTCGAAGCGAACAGGCCATTTTCATTCGTAATGAGATGGTCAAATGATTTCGAATTATTCCGAGGCGTCGTAAATAATCCGAGATTAAGAAGTTAACGAGATGAGTCGCACGTGTGAACATCATAAAATGCGATAGCAGCTAAACGATCTGTAAGATCTCTTATTAATCTGCTTATCTTTTTTTTTCTTTTTGCATTAATTTTATCACTTGCGATTATTCTTGTAATTTCTTCACATTTTATACAAATCAATTACCTCGCAACTGACTATAACGATATAGGCTGTGTTCCGATATGCACTACCAGTACTGAAAATCTACAGTATACATTTACAGTATGCATAACATAAACTATAGATTTTCAGTACTAACAGTGTATATCTGAAATACAGCTATAATTACTGTTTATTGGGATACTAATAATTCAATTATAAGATTTTTACGAACATAACGATTCGAATAAATTAGGTGCAAACGTTATAAACAATAATTGATAACAGCGAAAAAAGAATGTCTGAGAAGAAAAAAATTTTTTTAAGAGAACCAAGTTAAATTCGAGATATGCAAACATTTGTACAGGGATTGCATTGACAAAAAAGAAACAAATCGATAAGGATCTCGTTATACAGATTGTCTTATTGTTATTGTTTGCGGGAGTTCAAAATCGTTCGTGCTTATAGTTAATGTAGGTGATCATTTTCTTAAAGCAAATAAAGGATAAATCTGAAAATTTTAGGGTTTTGTTCCTACATGTTTTCAAACTAATTTGTGATTGTCAAGAATCTGTACATTATAAATGTTATTGCGCAGTATAATCAAATTGAGATAATGCGCAGTTTTCTGATAGTTTGAAACTGGTTCGACTGTATTGGAACAAATTTTTGATTTGAAATAATAAGATTCGAAATAATAAAAATGAAAACAACTGTAATTTGAATAAATTTAATTTTAAATTTAAGAAATATACAATTAACAAGAACAAATTGTATTTATATGCATGAAACTGTAAAATATTTTCCGTGAAAATTTGTTCATTAATATAATATTAGACATTAGAACGCTAATTTAGAAAAGAATTTCCCATAATTTCAAAATAAAGGACAGTAAAGAAAAATATTGGAAAATAAAGGACAAAATTGAGTTTTGAAGAAACAAATCTAAAGGACTATCTAAAAGATATCCTTTACAATAAAGGACGTATGATCACTGTAAATATAGGCGCATATACACAAATTTTCGAAACAAACCGACCATTTTATTATGATATTCGTTATATGAGTAACAATAGATTATTCATATCTTTGTTCATAGATCGTGTGATTGTGTGAACATGTTAAAAATGTATCACGCAAAAAATTTGTAATCTGAAAATTTATTATTTGATACGTTTAACATTTTTTATTAGCAAACTCATAAAGTACTCTTGTCATGTTTGTTATAATTATTGTTTTAGCTAAACGTTCTTCGATCTC